ATATATATATATATATACATGAGTTCTTCTCACCCCAGTATACGTTTGTATTGATCATTTTTTAGATAACAGAGCTTCCGATAATCCTTCGTGGCCCCCGATTTACAGGAGCTCCCGCCAGTTCAGTCATCGCTCACTAACAATAAGGCGGGGTCTCGTGCCTAGCACCTCCCACTCCGTTCCCGACCATAATATACAGCTAGGTCTAAATGAGAATCAGTCTCCTCCATTCTGTTTCCTAGAAGAAATATTAAATCGATCAAAGCAAAGCTCTTTTGGGGGAATTGATGTAGTCCTCTGTCACGAGCTACATTGTCAGGGACGCTTTTATCAGTCACTCATGAGAACTATCTTATGTAAGCCGCTAGTTCATGATGATGATGCGTGTATTTTCAATACAATCAAATTGAATTACGTTACAAAAATCACTACTGAACAGGTCGATTTAAGGAGCATTACTTACGTTCATATGACATGCAAAATGACCTGAAAGTGACAGTTTCGCGGAAATATTTATATGGATTTTTATAATAAATATTTATACATATTATAATAAATATTTATACGATGAGACTGCGTGGATAGCTACAAGGCAGAGAGAATTTTTTGGATCGCAACTACAGCCATGAATTAAAACAAAATGGAGACGGAGAGAACTGCAGAGAGAGAGAGATGAAAGACAATTCGCATTGATCACATAAATTCACCGCAACCAATCAGCATTTAATTCTTACCCAGCAGAAGTTCCATCTGAAAACATCTAGAGAGCATACTTGAAATTAACTTACCCAGAAAGTATTTAATTAAAATCTCTGATTTAAAAAAAATCACTGAGGTGTTTTGCTCACAATCAGATCATTCAACGATTCACTGTATTTCATTGCAAATCTACTTCTGAGTTCACAACTGCATCAATTATGTGTATGATGAAAAAGAAACTAATATTCAACTGAAACATTCTGTCCCTTTAGGAATGCAACTTTTATTCGTTTTATTACTTCTTCGAACTACTGCATACATCTCAATTAATGACTAAAAGGGTTTACAACTACGTCAACATAATGAATGCTTTTCAGTTATACGATCAAAACATGAAGTCCATACCTGATCTCTAAAAAGTTTTTTAACGTCAGCAATGTCTAATTCGAGTTCTTCAATTCTTTCGATTTTTTCTCCATGAGCTTCAAGCAGATTCTCGTATCGTTCGTTCAGATCCTATAGCAGTATTCTCATAAAAACACTCAAAAGATTACATTTCTCTAACAATTACGACTATTCCGTCAACGAAACTCTAACGACTGTGATGCTATATAATTTCATCTTCAAAGTGGGAGACCAGAGCATAGATCTGATAGAGACCTGTTAGTGAAAATAACTTGAACGTATAATGAATACCGTTTGAAGTTATTCGCTTTTCTTACGCTCTTCACTTACTAATGGAATTGAAGTTGAAAATATAGTTTTTCAGAAGACAGCATGAAATAAAACTCTTTTCTCGCCAAAATCTAATTGGAGTTCTGCAAAAATTCACTGCGTTCGAAAAAGAAAGATAAAATCAAAAACCTGGTACTTCTTTTTCAATGATACAAGCATTTTATTATCTTCTTGCATCGAGGCTAATTTAGCTTCTAGAGAAGAAACCTGTCGCATGGACTGTTCGTACTTCATTATAATATCAGCCAATTCAATCTGAAAACATGACTCTTTCGAAAATTTAATCGAATTGAAGAAAAGACTCAAAGCTCGATTAGGGTTACAATTACAAAAGGCGTAATAACAGTAAGAATAAATTCAATAAAGTAACAACGAATGGTAAAAGTTTGGGAGAATAAAGCAAAACCTGTGCTGCATTAGAAGATGACATATAAGGGAGAGAAGCTTGTTTATTAGAAGAGGCGCTTGAACTGAATGACGTTTTCAGCTTTATTTCAGAGTTTTTTCGTTCAATTTGTGATGATTCACCTTCATCATTAATTCTTTCCCGCATTAAACTCAACTGTTCATTCAGATCAGAGCATTCGGATGTGAGCTTTTCAATTTTTTTCTGCTGCAATTTGAAAACCATTGACCATTGTCGAAAGTTTCTGGTGAAACTTTCATGTTCCCAATGAAAGAAGAGAACATTACAATCTAATTTTCAGAAACTTGTCATATTCTATTCAACAGATTGCTTTGATCGACTAATACAATAGCGATGGCAACCGAACGAAATTCTGGTTCGGTCGGAACCGGACCAAATCGACTTTTCAACATCCCAAAATTCGGCATTCCGATGAATTCATTTTTGAGAGTCCAAAATTCGGTATTCCGACCGAACTTCGAAATCCTTCGATCTGAGTGCGACCAAAATTCGTTAGATTTTATCGATCGAACTTCGGTCGGTTATCATCACTAAAACATAACCATTTAATCGACCGATTAATTTTAACAATACCACAGCACAAATTTTAACAATACCATATAACAATCTTCACCTCAGATTTCTCACTTGAATCAAAGATATTCTTGAGATTGCATTATTCTGACCCTTGGAGTAGAAGTAGATTTCAGGACGTCAAACGGAGCAAATCCATTCTCTCATTACTACATTCTCTCTGTGAACGAAATAAAAGTGCAATAACAACAACAATAAGAATAATGACAATCAACAGTAACCTTTTCAACAGACTGTCTTTCTGCATTCTCAGCTTCTTCTCTCAGCCTCACGTAAAACTTATCAATTTCAACTTCTTTTGATTGTAACGATATTCTCAAACCTTCGATCAGGCGTTCACTCCTATCCAAACTGCTCTGTAAACTATAAAAAAAAANAAAAAAAAACAGTTTACCAACAATAATAGTACAGTAGATAATAATTATCATCAATATTACCTAACAAATATTGATATGCTTTAGGCTAGCGCTACATAATCTTTAAATCGCAACCCTTAAGGATCGCTTAATTACTTTGTGGGATCGTGAAATATTTGACCACAAAGAAGTTTTCTGAACACATAATATTATGACAGAGAGGCTTACAATAGAAGAGATCTTTTGTAAAGAAAGAGTATAAAAATATCTGCTTCAGTAAAAATGGATTGTGAACAGGTCATTAATAAATCTCACTAATCCGAATTTAAAATCGTTTCGCTCGGTAACTCGCTAACTGCTATTTAATACTGAGGTTTGAATAAGAAATCTGAGGTGAAGAGAACCTGCGATTCTGTGTTTCAGTACTGTTGAGTTGTTGAGTGATTTGTGTAAGCATAACATTTGCCTCATCATTTTCAGATCTTACCTGAAGTGGTCACATGCGTTATTCAATTCATTCTACGGCAAATCGATTGCATTTTCCCCACCAAAGAATTATGCCAATAGAATTATAACACATAACGAATACAGTTAACTAACTTCGCTCAATTCATCAATTAGTTCGCTATTTCGACGAAGCAATTCATCTAAAATAACAATAATAAATTTCAAAAATACACAGTATTGTCGATATGACATAATTCAATCACATTATGCGATCGAGTTGTACAACTAATGAAAGATACATCACTTCGGTATGGCAATTAGTTGTTGGTTTCAACAATGATTATTTCATTGGTGTTATTGTCAAATGATCGAAGTGCATAAGAGGATATGAAACGAAAATTGAAAGCACTCCTAAGCTGTGAATGAATCGGTTCATCACGTAGAGCACAATTGAAAGAAGTTTATCGGGTGGATTAAAACCGTATCATTGCATCGAACAGTGATGAGAACCTTTAGTTTTAGTAAGTGATGCGATGATGAGATCTTTTTCATTGATACTAGCCTCATGAGCCACCTCTTTCGACTTTGCATCACTTTCCAGTTGACGAATCGACTCAAGTAATGGAGAGTTTGCTGGAAAATTAATGAAGTTTTATCCACTTGTTAGGATTACCAAAAAATCATCGTTTCCATTGTCAACAACACCCATAGCATTGCCTAAGCTGGTAAAGAACACGAAGAATCCAAAAGTTAATGAAGTAAACAATCAATAAAATAACATTATACCCATAGCAACCATTTGCGCAGCGTCACGTTGTACGTCCATTATTTCAGAGAGCCTCTTGAAATTGATTTATAAATCAGTTAATACAATTTCTAATAATATCAAGCGTCAAAAAATTTCAAACACCCAGTCACCTGCTAAAACGTGAATGAGATCACAGGTAAATTATGGTCTTGCAAAGAAGTTCAAACTGACGAATGCTTTAGATGGAAAAAACTGAGTGCTGCTAAATGCTTATCGATGGAACTGAGATTTGAAAATACACGTAATCAGATCACGGCCGGTAGATAATAAATTTGAGTTTATTATTAAAGTGCACCAAACGCAAAGAAAACTACTTTTTCGAGCGATTCAATATAACTCGTCTGATGATCATTCTTCAACTTTTCTTCTTCGATTTCTGCGTTTAAACCTGAAGATAGTAACACCTAATGATTCATTCGGTCTACTAACCTTAGTCTATCTACTTAAATGTGTTTTTCATTCAATTTTAATTCCGCTCGATCCACAAAAACCTGCATAATGAGTCTGCATAATGAGTCTTTCACAGCCTCAGTAAAAACTACTTCATTGAAACAAAGAGTTGTATGAGCAAATAAATATGATGAGCAAACAGCCGAATGAAGAGAATTAAATTCTTTGAAGATCAAGTCTCGAATGGTTCGTACAATAGAGATTTAAGGACTGCGAATAAACAAACTTCGCTTAATCTCATCGATTCCCTTATTTACTATTTCACGTTGATCGACTTCATTTGATAACTGCTCGATTATTGAGTTTAATCGCTTAAATGAAGATAAAAATAATCACTTTCCAAAAAAAAAAACAAATAAGTTTAAAACTGAACAAGTGGATGAATAGAATTAAAAACACGAATGATATAATAATATAATCAAACAGAAATTATTATTCATTTTCTCAATAGTTTGAACTGGATAGATTAAATCAACATAGAATGGCGATCGAAGATGACGCGATTCGCAGAGTTTTCATTATTCTAAAGGATCACAAAAATCAACGAAATAATGGATTCTTCAATTACTTCAAGAAGTTACCGTTTGAAAAAGTGATCAAGAGTTAAGAAAATTTAGGTGGATATATGTCGAGCAAAATGATGGAATTTGCCGAACTGGTAAGCTGATCAAATGAGACTGAACAGTTCAAAGTCAACAGCAGGCATGATCAATCAACGAGTAACCTTGACTTCCTCAAAACCGCTGTCTTTATCTTTTTCAACGGTCTGCAAATGAGCAGTGAGTTTCTCAATTCGCTCATCGCGTCGTTTCAGATCGTTCACCAAAATTTCATCAGCTGCCTTCATTCGAGAACAATCCTCTTCTAACGTCTTTATGGTGACTAAAATCAATTTATTCAACTATTTTATATTCACTAAAATTGAAATAAAAACGAATAAAGAAAAGCAATTTGTATCAGCGAAATAAAAAACTCATAATCCATAATCCTTTTTACATTTTATGCTACAGACTCAATTAATTTATTCATCAATTGAGTTCAGTTGCAAAAAAAAACCCCAGTTGAATGACTACTAACACAGAACTAGAATGATATATCCACTCACAAACTTAATCATGAATAATTTCATTTTACGTCAAATTATTGATTTATCCAATGCTCATCATACCTCTGAGTTTGGCATTTTCAGCATTCAAACCGCGCACCTGTTCGTTAGCTAAATCTCGGTCAATTTCCGCTTGAGCACCCTTCTTGGCCAATTGATCTTGTTCAGCGAGACTCGTTCTCAATCGTTTCAGTTCCTTCGTTAATTTACCGTTAGTTTCAGCTAACTTCTCACCTTGAATTTCAAAACGTTTCATGTTAACAGATTCCATGAATTTTTGCGCAAATGAATTATTTTGCACATTTCAGCATGCAATCCGATCGAAAACGCTAACAACGAAAACGTTTTCAACAAGAAGTGCACTGAAATTTGAACGAAATTAGACTACAAGAATGAAGGATGTTTATTCACAATTGTGCTGGACTGAGTAAGGTGTGACTTCAATAATGAGCGTCAACTTGCCTTCTTGCAGCAATGATGCCAGTTCAGATTCTTTCTCACTCAATTTTTTGATAAGTTTCGTTTCAGCTGAGCTATAATTCGAAAGCTTATTAGAGAAGATAAACAATACACGGGAAAACAGCATATATCAACAAATGTAGTTATTCCACAATGAAAATCTGGCTGAATTCAATCATTCATCATAATGTCAGTCATTGATTAAAGCAAGTAGAGAAGCGAAAGTGGTCGAAATTTAATTTTGATACTATTTAAACTGAACTCAACTTCTTCTATACATGATGGAATTTCATAAAAATTTTACATATCGTTACTTTAAACATAGCAATATTTTGTCCGCTATCCAACTGGTTCCATAACGTTTTCATATTAAACGTTTACCATTTGGAATATATGTTAACTTGTGGAAATAAACGACATCAGAAACATCATAGGGACTGCTTGTTCAAGAACGGAAACTTGTCCAGTGTGGTTGACATAGACCTTACAATAAACTTTTCACGAAAAGTCAGTTAGTCTGCTGAAATCTATCGTGTTAAAAACTGGTTGAAGAGAACGAACGATTGCTTGTTTCTAGCTGCTTTCAGTGCCAACAAATCATGCGATTTCTTCTCAAGTCGTTGATTTTGAGCAAGTAAATCGCCAATCCGACGTTCTTGATGTTGTATTTGAGATCTGAGTTGTGCTATTTCAGTTCGCATTTGACTAATCGATGATGCATCCTCTTCACACATTACCGCTGGTAACTGTTGCTTAAAACGAAATAATCAGTGCTTTAATCATACGACATCTCATCGAACGTACTTCAACATTCACTTTTCAATAAATAATGATAAATGTACCAACCATCCAAGCTTAACAAAGAAATATTCAGAGAGTAAACAATTCAGCAGATGAAGAATGACCACGAAACAAACAGAACCTGAGCAAAAGGCTCCAACGAAATTGATTCGGATATGCGCAAAATTGGTGCATCGTCTTGCGTTGTACTAGTTGGTACTGACCTGAAGAAATAATATTAATTTATGCTTGCACTCTATAGAATGATTGATTCACAAATAAATCGGTTGTTAAGAGGAACAAACAATATGTGCGAAACACGCCAACGGAACGAACTTGCATTCTTTTTTTGTTTTCATTGGAGAAAAGCATTTTCAGTTTTGTTTGCGAACGATTTTGTTACGAACAAAACTGCAGCATTTCCAATACAAATTTGTTGTTCTATAGCATTCATTCAGTTTGTTCTAAATATGTAATATTTCGTATGTTTTTAGTTATTGCATCATGGTATGCGGAACATCCACGTTATTATTCCTGTTTGCTTCAATTTTCTGAAGCCACTGAACAAATAAAACAACCAATCGTATCCATCTTGCTCGGAGTCCGTTACAGCTGCTACTTTACTGACGTAAAGATGACCGACTTAACAAACAAATAAACGATCATATGAATACATGATCGCAATAACGAAATTTATCAATATCCTCCTGGCTACATTTCAGTCAAATACAAAAGGTTTTAGTTTATCAGCATCTCATACTGAATATTTTTCGAAGGCATCAAAGAAAAGTTATATACTCCGCTGACATGAGTGACCACGAATCTCCTTGACGTAGCACTTCGATATCACTCGACGAAATCGTTACCGTATCGTCATGTTGATGAGGAAGCGAGCATGAATCTTCGGTTAAGTCTGTCGCATTTCCACAGTTCCATTCAGTTTTCTCACAGGAAACATTCTAAAATTCATTCTTAATACTAACATTGGCACTAATTATTCCAACTTTCAATATTGCCACTATTCTTTCTTACTAATATTACCACAATGATGGACCTGAAACTACAAATGAAAAACGGAAGTTGATGACATAGCACTCATAAATATATGTAACGCAAGACATAAAAAGAAACATCTTGAGGATCATTGTTGCTGGTGTTTTTTGGTTGTTGTTCAGTTGACGTGAGTGTTTCGTGTTCATCGATAGCGCTGCACCCTTCATCTTGTGAGTTCTTAAATTCATACCAATAAAGGTTCATGTTTGAGAGTGTTTCGTGTTCATTCAATTCAAGGCAACCGGTTGACTAGAACATAAAAAGTATAATGGGCAACAACAAAGTAATTAAATAAGCGAACTGATGAAGGTGAGTGCTGATAAGATGCATGATTATGACTGTCAAGAATCGGGTTCGGCTCAGAGTCAACAACATCAACTGCTTGCTGAAATGGAGCACTTCCAAATAAATGGCGATATTGAATAATTTTTTCAATGAATGAATGATGTCTTCAAATAAGTTTTGAGTCGATGAAAATGAATAATTTTTTTCAAAAACGACTACAATTTTACTTATATGAAACGACAGGTGCTCACAATCGAAACTAAAAACTTAATGTGATAAAAATCATTGCGAACAATAGAATGTTTATTCGACAGACTGAAACAATCAACAACCACCTCACTATTCAGTTGATAATTCCATTGTTCGTGTGAGGATGAACATTCTGAATGAGAACTTTCTTCAGTCAATTTCTCTCCTGTTACTCTTCCAGTCTCTGCTTCCTGGAGTTTCATGAACGATGCTTAAAAAGAAATGCCAAGCAGCAGATTCAGGCTTACAGTTACGCACTGATTAAATGTTACTATTATTAATGACACACAAAGAACATTTTTGCGATTCACGGTATTTCGGTCATAATCAATGTATTCAAGTCTCGTAATGCAAAATATGAACGTGAAGTGACTGTGACGAACTGAGGTTTACAAAACTAACCGTTGCGACATCTGAAATCTGAGAATATAATGTGACCGCTTGATGTTGGTTTGATTTTGTAACGACATCTTCTTGCTGGATACCTTTTTGATCATTTGAGTTGTCCGAATTTGAATGCATCAAATCTTTGGCATTGTTATCGTTTTCTTCATTGTCATCGTCTGACTTCAATTGAAAACATTCGTGAACATAAACGTAGGTTAAACGAATTAATGTAACCTAGTTTTTTTTTTTTAAATTTTCTGTTTTAATTTTCTTTTAATAGTCGAAGAACTTTAATTCTTTTGATTTCAGATTATAATAGTTGCGTCTAGATAGTTTTTTCTCTAAATTTTAAATTTTGGTCGTAATACCAAATTTCGGAATCTTAAAAACTTGGTTCGGTCGGATTCCAACTGTTAGCGTCAATAGTTAGAATTACTATTTGTAGTATGTAACATAATTGTTACATGATTAGAAGCGCATTTATGTGCATTCATAGTGATGAAGTTGATTTCGCTAGTTTCCTCTCAAATTATTGATACTTGAAAAATTCAGATGAATCGGTTTCGGTTCTTTTAAAACATAACAAACACCTCTCAAATCATCATTTTAAGAGAAGAATCAAATCAACGGTGTTCACCAGTACGAAGAAAATAAAACAGCAATAGCAAATAATCGAACTCAATTGGTTTTGCAGTACGATATTAACGATGTGAACAATTACAGTGCTTAGATATTTTAGAAATGGCCGATTGGCTTGTAAAGTTATATATGAAAATAATCGTCTATAACCAACTATACCTCTTCTTCAGGTGTTATATCGAGCACTGAATCGATACGTTTTTGTGCATTTCTTAACGCATTTTTGGCCAACTGATTAGCCCATGTGAAATTCATGTTGTCGTTGACGACGAAATATTGTTTAAGTTGAAGTTCATCAACGAACTGATTCAGCGAATGCTGTTGATGCTAAAATTTATTCAACTACAACACTAAGTTTGAAGTGACACGACTGCTAATGACAATAACTTTTTCACAATGAACATTACAATGACGTGCCCAGAAAACTTACTCGAAGAACAGACATGAATTTCAGACATGCATTTCTTGTACAGAAAATAACTATGTTGCCATAAGATATTTGTTAATCATATTCATTGCGTTTGTGGGAAGAATTTATTTTCGGATACCCTCCTTCTTTGCGGATGTTAACGATAAAATGTCACTATAGCCATGTTGAAAAATTGCGTAGCCCGAGCCATTGAACTGGGCCAAAATTTGCAAGATTCGATCAAGACTTGCTGGGACGAGGATACTGACCAGTATTTTTCTATATTTTGGTTTTGATGAATAAACTTGTCAAGGGATGCGCGGGTTTTTTTTTTGTTTTGGCTCTTGCGCTCGAAGTGTGATAGAAATCGTCAAAGAGAAGATGTGCGAGATTTTATCGCAGTGCAAATAGACTGCCTTCATAAGTGATTTTTGCGCTGGCCCGACGTTTCCTTACTTGCATGCGTACTTTGGCGCGACAACTGCTGGGCCGGCCTAGTGAACCTTGGTCTGTTTCAGCGATGCTTGGCTCAGCCGTGTTGAGTGTATGTGAATGAGATAATTGATGAAAATTTACGTAACGAATTTGTTTCTATAGTTTGGTTACTTTTTGTTTTGTTGAATGCAGAGGTTATACAAAATAGAAGACCTTTAAGGTGACCAGACTGCTGATGGACTCAAGGATTTCGGACAAGCACCGGCGCCAAGAGGAGAATTGAGATGATAGTAAAATAAGAAAAAACGCAATCGAACAGGTAATACTTGGAGTTAGATCGTCTGATTGATGATGTCATTAATCAGATTACGATGGATGTTGCATATCGAACGAACCGATGCAATTTCCGTAAATGTGAAATAACTGCCACTATTGCCAACATCACAAAAATTTTTATGGGATCCTTTTCACATAAGTTCCCTATCGATAATCATGTCGCCAATTCAGAGCAAATGTTCCATCTATCTCTAATAATGCTACTGTTAGTTTATCAAGTGCTTTTAAAATCGCTCGTTTGTTTACTAAACTTCGTCGGAAAGAGTAGAATTTCTTGGGAGTTTCACCAGCAAAATGGAATTCACGATAAGGTGAGTTCCCGACATTATAGTCACTACCAGAGGTGGCACAGTTTTGTCAATTGTTAAACGTTGATTATCCTCGTTGATGAATTTACACGCATTAGAAATTATTTCAATACGTGTAAATTTATTTACGTACCACTGTGTTATGAAGTAATCCAGAGACCAAAATTGCCTCTTTCGATGTATGAAAATCGCGCACGCGTCACATGCGATATTCACCGCATCAGTGTCAATACCAAAAGGTGAACGAGCGATTCTACTCCCAACTGCTACATGACCATCAATTTATTGTTCGTTTGTTGGCGGTATTGTCATTTTTGCATTGTTTCCGCTTAGGTTCATATTTTGACTTTTTATCTGTGGTGTATTTAACTTACGGATGGTTTGGAAAGCCAAAAACCTGTAGTATCGGTTACAAGACCGAAAAAATGACGATGTTGCAATGAGAAGAGGGAGGGCATATGATGTGAGATGGTGATGCGGAGAATAGGCCAAAAAATCCATACCAAAAAAATTTCTTATTCAAATCAGCATTGAATTTGTTGACTTTGGATGCAGTCCTTGAACGAGATGAGCCGAAAAAACGATGGTTATTGATGTAGCTAGGTGAACAGTAACTTATTCAGACGTTTTGGTTGAATTGATGCGGTGATTCAGTCAGTGAGAACGTTTACTTAAGTGATTGTTTCGAATGAGTGCATCACAAATGCCCTACGTCACAAATCCTTGCATTTGTTTCAATGTTTTGAGAGGATGGCTTTTGTCGGAGAGAGGTTGAAGCAAATGCGGCATATTTGTAGGTCTACTGTCTAAGGCTTTTGAGACATATCGTCGATTCTACTATGTGTCTGATTGGTTGTTCAGTAGTTTCATAATATAAATGAGAAAAAAGTGTCGCAAACTAAGTAGTTTTTTATTTTGTGAATGAAGGCGATCGAATCATTCCAGGAAATTCCGACCGATTATTAAAAAATGGAGGATGATGGGAACGAAACGTAAGGTTTAATTTTATTATTATGTGCTTTCCATCCTATATGTTTCATTTTCGCATGAATAAAATTACGGTGATTATAAAAATATTAGTAGTCATAAAGGTGATGATTATTTTTCAAAAGTTATACGGACAGATACTACGCCATGCGAATGTTCAAAAGAATGAATCAATTTTTGTCGTCAGGAAAGACTGAGAAACTAATGAATGGTATTGGAAACGCTGTTGAAAATGAATCATTGAAAATATGTGCATCAAATAATGGAATGTGTTCATGATATTTTGAGGTCGAATAAAACCATATCGCCATCCATCTCAGCGGTATCATCTTTGAATTGTTCAGTAGGAGGATACTATCGCAGTTTATCAAACCAGCTACATGCAACCGTATTAACAGTGAAAGAAAGCGGTGGAGTACGCCAATATACACGTTCGAATGCAAATGGTACACGAGAATATTTCCGATGTAGAAGATGTTGTGCGATGAAACGCAAGTATGGTGGCGATGTCGCAGCTCGTATTATCACTAATAACGGCCAAATTGTTGGTGATAAATATCCGAAACATCATGAAAGATGTGAATTGATTCCCGTTGAATACGCCACCATTAAAGCGGTTGATCGACAGGGTCGATTCGACGTTAGAAGTGGGAGAAAGGATCCAAAAGAAGCTCATCATGAGGTGAGTTTGTCACGGCTTATTTATGTTTTTAGTTGTGTAAATTCGACGACTTCCGATTCCTTCAAGACTTGGAGTAGGAAGAAATAGTGAAGGAGAGTAATGTGTTATGGATGAATATAGCCAGCGGGAAGTAGGTAATTGAAAGAATGGTCTGATTTATTAATTGCTTTTTTAAGATTGTAATGTCAACTGTATTAGGCGGCAGAGTTACGATTATATTTTTTTGTTTTTTAGCCTGCCATAGCGTTTTCTGTGGAGGTCATGAACAGCTGGAATTCAGTGACATCTCTTTATTTTCGGTTTCAATCACCTGTGCCTTCACATACAAAAGGTGCCGATGTGGGCGAAAAAGGGTAATATCAAGCATACAGGCTCTGTTGAAATCATATTTTACGATGACTACTCATTTTACCCGTAGGAAAAGGGTAATATTTAGGTTCACCTACGACCATCACGAGGAAATTGCTTTTTATAAGCACGCGTAATTTTGCAGAACGTAGACAGTTACGGTTGTACGTGAGAACGGTGAGTAGTATGAGATAGGTTTGGGAATAGGGGGGTTTCGAGAAGGGGAGATCACTCTCACTGAGGGATTACCCACTGAGGGATCACTCATTGAGTTTTTAGTGGGGGAGAGACGGAAGAAAGACAAGGGATTTTGTCTTTTTGCCACCAGGATCTTTTGAAGTGCTGAGGCACTCTGATCTTTCATTCCCAAGTGCGAACTAGGTTTAATGAGGATTCATGGAACGAAAACCTCATAAAGCTAAGGAAACCACTTTAGATTTAGCGTTATCCATTTGTAATTTATTGTACGTCAGTGGTTAAGCTCAAGCTTTTTCGTTCAATTGCCTACTTAATTTAACGATTCTTCCAAATTACACAACTTCTCTCCGTCATTTAGTAATTCGATTCTAAAACGGTTAGGTGTGCAGAAAACCGTTGCGATGAATATGTCATGTTTCTTCCCGTAAACAATATTCAAAACCAAATGGGACGTTGTTTTTTGTTTTTGTTGCTTATGGCCATATCTCCTTCATACTTCCGCTTGAGGCTCATGTGTACCGTCTCTCGAAAACTCACATTTTCGGTTGACTTACACTTGTTTGGCCATGTAGGACTGCAGCCAGTTCTTAGGGATGAAGTGAAAATAATGGCAAACAAGTTTATCTTTTCTGTTTAGTCTTCAGCTTGTGCTTATCGTGAGCTTAGGCTGAGGCTTATCCTACGCTTACCTCATATGTTCAAAACCACTTTCCTTTTTCTATGAATTCTGTGTGAGGGTAGACTTTCACTGTTGTCTCCATCAGGAAAATGTTGCAGCTGAAGTCAATTTATTCACTAATAAGGACGGTTAATGAAGAAATTGTTTTCCATACGTATTAGTCATGAACGGCAAAACGTTCCGGCTGTTAATGATGTAAAATTATTCTGCCTGTCAATAGTTGATGACATTGATAAATGTTTTGCTTGATGTATTCTTCAGGCTTTCGAGAAGGCAGTGAGATTGGCAAGTTCATCAGGTGATCCATCCATCACGAGATTGAGTATGTCAACAATGTTTCCAACTTGGGAACGGATCCGGAAAACATACTATCGACATAAGCGAAGAGGGTAGGATATAATGTTGGCAATGGTAGATAGTCGAATGTCAAAGTCTGTAAGAGAGTCTGCGAACAAATCACCGGAACTTTCAGCGATCGGCTTTCTGTGGAAAATTTTGGCAACAAGCAACCTGCCGAAACTAAATTTTTTGGGTCCCTCGAAAATTTCAGCCATCTTCAAGACATTCGGTCGGTAAATCGCTGATTTCGAGAAAAGAGTTCAGTGGATGCAGAATTCGGCACGAGGGCCCATGGATGTTGGCGGTCTTTCGAAAATTTTGACAGACTGCCTGTTGCCGAAATTTTCATCGATGTACCAATTATCGAAAGTTATATTGGTGGTTCAGCGCGCCTTTCCTTAATATGTTGCGCCGTCATTCGGTGTTCGCCAGTATACCAAACCTATGCTTTAAAATTTGGTGCGGGGTCCCTGGAGTCAAATTTTGGGCGTTTACCGACGCTAGTAGGATATGAATATTCTTCATTTCTTAATTTATACTGTCTTTCATCAGTTATTTTTTCACATTCCATCTCTGTTTTGTGAATAATACGTATTCACTATTCTAACAATTTCAACTGATGTGTACTTTTTTTCCACTAAACTCTTTATAATTTGTTCTATTTTAAGATTATTCCCTGCCGTCTATATATAATAATGTAAATATTATTAGAATACACAAAAGCAACTGTAGTTATTATGCAGTTTCATACGTTAGCAATATTGTTTGAATGGTCATACGATGTAAAATAATAACAATAATATGATGGTGGTAGTGTTTACTGAGATTTCACGTAATCATAAGTTCATTCAGATTAAATGAAACGAAAGTGGATATTGACCAAAGTTTGCTGGATAATGGTATGTCGAGTGTAGAGACGGTCGTACAAGACGACGATAGTAATCATTCAGTAACATCTAGAAGTTATGGAATTGTTAAAACCGAGGAATCGGACTCTGCATTCAAATTGGATCCTCCGTCCGTTGAAGTATCCTCGGATACATCGAACAGTCCCACAACAACTCTGGCAAATCATCAAGTTTTATGGGATTATTCGTACATCATTCCTCAGAGCAGCAATAACCTGGATATAGCTTTAATTAATGCGTGTTACAACCAAGCTAGTATGGATACCTCGCAAACCAGTCAGACAACTTCTGCTGATGACCCATTGCAAAATTTCGGTGATTGTTTGTTCTCCTTAAATTGAGCGTGGTAAAATCTGATATGCATATTTCATTATTACAACTTGTGATTCATAGTATAGTGATCTGGGAATGATGAATTTACCATAATTTTGCTTTATGGTGTATATGAAAAGGTATACCGCAATGTTTGTTATCACAATATACAACAGTGATACAATATGGTTATAATTGGAATCACTGTTTCAGGTGAGAGCATCGAAAAATATGTACGTAATGTTTACGAGGTGAATAGGAGTCTTGGTGAACGGCTTCAGTCAGAAATACTCGAAGTGATCAAGAAATATGAATACGTTCTGGAAGGTAACCAGTAATGTTGTAATTTTATAGTGAATGATCGTGATAAAATTGTGTTTTGATGTGCGTGATTGGTGAGCAAATTCAGAGTCACTTACAATTCACAATATGCTCCATTTGGTGAAGAGTTCAAAGATTACAATCCTTTATTTTTGCTCATCATAACTCACTTTTGATAATCCGAATTAGTTCTGTCATATTAAATTTTCGATTATTCATTTATTGTCTGAACTGTTGTTGTATTGCTACTCGTTCTATTCGTAATTTATGGCATACAATGATTTGAATTTTTGTATTATTAAGATGAAGGCGATGTTGTGGGATTAGGCTTTATTTAAACAAAGTTAAAGTTGAATAATTAAATTTCGGGTCTGAACTTTCCATTCCTCTCTCCCTTAAAAGATGCATAGTGATCGTGTAGCTGTCATGGTGAGTACCGAATTTGTTGTTGATTCGACGTTCATTCATACGTGTTTGCCTTATGTCGTTTACGTATTCACACTCCGTATTACATATGAACTTTTCAAATAAATGTCGTCATAATCATCATTATTTCATTTTTCATGTTAGATATCAACAGCAAATTTCAATATTCATTTGTTCATTGATTCTGTTTTGCATCATTGCTTATCAATCACTTGAAACGGTTGCTATCAATCATATTCTTTCGTCCCATACGTCTTCTCAGGACTGTTTATATTTCTGATGGATCAGTCATTTTGCACTTGCACACCATTTTGTTTGACGTGCTGAGTTTTCGCTTTTGATAACTTTTCGATATTGCGAGGAAGGATCTCGGTCGAAGTTTAGAATTTGTTCGTTTTAACTGAGTTTCGCAGTGTTGAGAATGGATTCCATCGTATTCCCGCAGAAGAGTTTGAATTTTACCTGCAGAAGCCGAGTTTCGGGATCCCGAATTTTTTAAATGTTCGTTACATTCAGAACAATACTATTGATTGCAGTGATTGTGACAACGTTGCATTTTTGATTTGGCAACCAACTGACCAAAATTCTGATTAAAGTTATTGTTCTGTTTTGTTTTATTGTTGCTATAGAAGTCAACTGTCAGCTTTGATAAATTTTCACACGTTCGTGTTTCCAAAAATACTCTGTAATATCAAAGGGGAGTACACAGTACTCACAAAAAATGAGAGTGAAGCGTCATTTTAGCCTATCTTATTAATCAAATTAAGGACGATCTTGTCGTAACATGGGGTTCCCACTGAGCATAGGCGAGAAATGCTAAATGGTGGTCGTCGCAGATAACTCTGATCTTCACGTCTTTCCGACAAGTAATTAACGATGAACGCTGCATGAATTATCGATAACTAAAGGTTCCTTGAATAATATTCATCTAAAGCCAGTTCTTTGCAAGCTCAGTAACCAAAAATAGATTGGAGCTAAGCCACTAAGAACGTGATTTTTTCTGTCCAGAAAAATCTTTTAATGATGGGATAAGCAAGAGGTGGAAGCTCCAAGTCGTCAGGACTTCATTAGAATTACCAAAATGGATCTTCCAGCGCATGTCATAGTAATAGGCTTGGTCAGTAGTGAGGGACATGATGTGCCTCACGCAGCATTGAGGAGGACTTCGAATTTAGTCAAAGTGTGCATCAAAAAATTTTGGTCACGAACTTCAAGTAAAGCAATAGACGCGAGACCGCACATTTTCCAGTAGATTCTGACGTCAACCCGCACGGCAAGGAACGAGGACAGTTTTTCAAAGCCATATAGCGTTTGACATGTGGCACTTTAGTTTGCATGATTTCAATGCTCTTGAGTATTGTTCGAATGGCTAGTAAGAGAATAATCAGTAAGGCTGCAAACAATAATAAAAGTGAGTTGAAACAAACTCTCTCATTTCAGTTAAGCATTTTCTGATACCAAAATACTCACTAACTTAGCACAACTAGACTGATTGTGGGACACAGAAACAACTTGCAAGCACGAACCGTTCATTTCTCCCTTCATATATTTTATTCTCTTGTTCCTGTCTCACTATTACTGGGATCGTTGAAACAAAATCTCTACAACTTTTCTGCTGTATTCAAATCAATACTTGTTTTATACTGTTTCAGAGTAAACCTTGTTTGCAAAGCTGTGGGATGATTATCTCCAAACACGTCATCAACAACAACGCTGTTTATCTATCGGTGGCCCCCGAATTTGCCTATCGGTGNGGTGGCCTCGAAAATTCGGTGGCCACCGATAGGCAAATTTTGAGCATCGCTCGATTGTCGATCGTTAATAACCGCAGTTCTGTTTGCCGAGTCTCCCCACCAAACAAGCCCTTACGGCCTAACTCTAATCGAAAGTCATGCAAACGCCCAATATTAGAAGCGTTAAATCAAACATCAGTTGCGCTGATAGGCAAATGAAACGACTAAAATAGGAAGGTATCAGTGTTCTGCGCGTATAACTTAAAGTGCTGACTGTCGACTGCTCTGAGAATATTCCTTATTATCGACTGCTCTGCGGATGTTTCTTTACTATCGGAATGTTCCTTATCGGAGTATCTTATCGAGACGTTCCTCGACAGATCGGGGAATGTTCCGTATCTGGATCAGTACAGAGTTAGTACAGAATTGGTACAGAATAGGTGCACAGCAGGTACGGAACTGGTAGATAATAGGTACAGATCAGACACAATTGATACAAATGGGTACAAAATTGATACAGAATTGGCGGAGAATAGGTACAGAATAGGTGCTGAATAAGTACAGAATTAGTATAGAAATGGTACAAAACAGGTAGAGAGTAGATACAAAATAGGTGTAGAATTGGTGTAGAACTGGTCTGGTTTTCTTTCGTCATCTTAATTGTCTGTTTCTCGTTTTCTTCTTGCCT